CTTTTTGAGAATTACTATGCAAAACAATAGTTGTAGTTATCAGACAGACAACTTAAAATTAAATAAAAGACAATGCTTATATCACATCAATCCTGGAGGCCTGGGGCTGGTATCCCATAGACTGGATTCAGTAGCTGATGTGTTATTTTTGGTCTGCTAACACTTAACACTTTTCATTAAACAGTGGTTAGATTTAAAAAGTGGGAAGTACATAATCCATATTTCAGTTTGCTCTGAGGAAAACGAAAAGATGGAGCAGTAGCAGGTGCACACAGCCCTCAGCTCCAGAAGCTGCCATGAGAGGGCTCAGGCCTCACCCAGTCTTTCATGCATTTAGGCAGCAAGAGAAAACCCCCTCATCCATAAGACTCCAGAGGTTGTATGAATCCTAGAATTCTCTCTCCCTCTCCCTCTCCCTCTCCCCTCTCCCCTCTCCCCTCGCCCGCTCCCCTCTCTCCCCCTCTCCCCCTCTCTCCCTCTCTCTCTCTCTCTCTCTGTGTGTCTGTGTGTGTGTGTGCGTGTGTATTATGTGCACAGTGTACCTTACAACCATATTGTACCATAGAGTATTTTCAGACCATGGGCGACCACAAGTAACTAAAATCCCAAGAGGTGAAGCTATGGCTAAGACACAGGAACCACTGGGATTCCTTGATCCTTCCAAACACGGCCAGAGCACCCACTAGTGGAGCTGAGTGGTGTTCTTGCAATCAGACCTTAATCTGTCTCTGGAGGTGCTCTCACCTCTCCTTAGGAGCACAACCCCACTCTGCAGAGCTGGCTTAGGAAGGTCATTTCTCAAGAGCAATGGATGTCTATAAAGTCAATGATTAGCTCAAGACATTTGCCAAAGCTGTATACTGAAGTTGCTGAAAGGCTGTTCTGGAAGATAACAAATTTCTGGACTTTTAAGGGAAATGAAACAAAAAGTACAAAGATCAGGAAGAATGAAAACCAAGCAATACTTCCCTCAAGGCTTTTAACTTTCTAACAACACGGAAGACACTTACACGGATGACTGATAACCATGTATCTACCCAGCACTTTCCCTAAATTGGCATGAAAGAGGAAGATGATAGGTTTAGCTTAGAAATCTCTTGGTTTTCTTTCTGTTTCTTTCTTTCCTAGCAACATTTTCAACTTAAAATATCACAGTAAGATCACAGGCTTGGGATGTGTTAATGGTAGAGGGCAGGGGTGCTAGTTCAATCCCTAGCACTGAAGTAAATAAGAAAGAAGAATAAAAGGAAAAGAAAAGATTATATAATAATACCCAGTACTGTAAAAATTGGAGGATTTTTATCCTAAAATATAGCTTGTTAGGCTGAGCAGAAGCAATGTCGTTTCAGAAAGGATAAGTTAATGAATGAGCAAAACAAGGGTTCTGTTTGCACCAATGGCTATTAACAATTCCAATTTAGCTAAAATCCCATTACAAGCAATGTGACTTCTGATCAGAAATTTTCATATTAACGATGGTTAAAAAGTGCATGCTAGAAAACCAGGTCAGCTTGCAATGGCTTTAGTTGGTCCTTTGCTCTACTAAGAAATGTGGTGTTGGGGACTTTTTTTTTTTGTCTTTCTAGGGGTCTTTAGAACTTGAGTAACTTCCTATTATAAAGTGAGTTGAATAGGAGAATTAATTTTCTTTATGATTTTGCTTCACAGTATAAAACCAATATAAAGCTCATTAAATTTATACAGATAGAATTGTAGTAGGAGGAAAAATATATTTTATAAAGTAAAGGTAGTTTACAGAACAATATACAAATGTAGCCTCAGAGTGTGTTAAGAAAGTATACAGAGAAAATACCAAGAGGTATTTCAAATGTATACTCAAATATACATTTGAGCTAGCTCTGTGAAATAGCTTTGAAAAAAAACTTCTGCTATGATTCAGATATTAGAATTACATCAAGATATGAACATTTCAGATAAAGAATTCACAATTTAGACTACTGACAGAGCAAAGGTATTCACTGCCTTCATGGTTAAATTAGGACCAAGAGTCAGAACAAAGAAAGCTGGGATCTTGTAAGTGTATAAACTGAAATCTGGAGATTTCACAAACACCACAAACATCGCCAGTCTCAGATTACTCAAGAGAAGTAACTGACTTTGCAAAATGTAGTGGAGACAGAGACAGGTTAGGGTTATGTGTACTTAACCCACAGGAGAATCCAAGTGTGCTTCAAGCAGTGTCATTTGACTGAGTATGACGGAGCTGCTAGTCTTCCTGGAGTCATGGAGATCTTAGATCTACCGACAACTTACACCAAGGAATAAGCCATTATGTTTTGGGCAGTTTTAAATTAAATCAATTAAATTCTCCAATTTCTAATGCTTATGATTTAATAAGAATTGGTACAGAAAACAAAAATAAAACCTTCCAGGCATACAAAAGAAATAACCAGAGACTAGGCCGGGAGTTGTGTGACTCTGTTTTCTTACTTACAAACTATTCCTTTATTGTTGGAATTAAGGGAATCACAACACACTGCACAGGAACAAGGAGTGGATTTAGTAGCATTAATTTATTAGTAATAATTACAAAGAAGGAAAAAATCTAGCATCTACTTAAGGAGCAGTAGGAACAGTGGAGAGGAACAGTGATGTACATGTTACAACAGTGAGGTTGATACGTTAGGTCAGCCTCAATATATTTCCCTGTAACCAGGAACACTGGGGCAGTGGATGAGTCAAAGTGACACATCTTGAAGAATATGTCATATTTCTAAGATCAACTAGAGGACAATGTGATCTAGAAAGGCAGCATCTGTTAGTGTGACTCAACACTAAAGTTGACACCCCAATAAATAAATGGATTCACTCAGCAGAGGGCTAGTGAAGGAATCCAGAATCTATCAGCAGAATGAGAAGGCACTTCATGGCACTTCTTAGCTCCTCATTAAGTTCTTCAGATGGGCTTAAGTTTGATAATTCTATAAATTGTTATTAGAATAAATGTACTTTTCATATTAGGCACTTGGAAGTCGTGGTGGGACATAACTATAGGGCCACTCCATCTGTCCTCTCTTAGTGTAAAATGTGAATTTATTTAGGGCCAGTGATGCATTAAAATACAAAAGGAAATAATTAGGAGAAAATTTCCTAATATTTATCACAAAAACTATCAAAATTAACAAATGCAACATGTCCTCAAGACAACATTTGATTAATTAATAAGGAATTCAAGAAAGGAAACTATTTGCTACTCAGCAACAAGTAAGCCATGTCAGTATACAGTATGATGGAATTCAACAAATGACCTACATTAAGAAGCTTGCAAAACCACTTGAGGAAGAAGTCCAAGAAAAGTACTGTTTCACCATTAAAAGTGTCTTCCAAGTTAATGAATGACAGGAAAAATAATTACACATGGAACTGCTAAATTACTCTACAAGAGCTCTTGGTATACACAGTTCCATTCCGAAAGAAATGCAATTTCCAAATACTACAATACATTTTTTCTCAGATAAAACTATATATATATATAATATATATATTATATATATATATAATATAATATATTTATATATAATAATTTTATACACACACACACACACACACACATATATGATATGCCCTCTAACCACGCATGCCACCCCCAGGACCATCTGGAAAGTGTGGCCTTGCTCGGAGTCTCATGTGGCTTTGTGAGAATTCATGATACAATTCATGAAGTTCAACGAGTTCTATTCATTAATCAAACACCTGTCCAAATGACTAGTCAGGAAAAGGGGTGTGAATTTCAGACTTAATATTAAGTCCTTTCTAAGTCTTTATTCTCTCTAAGTCTTTTTATTCCATCACACATATAAAAATAAATCAATTTCTAAAAAGACTATTTCTAATTTTCTTTTAAAGCCCCTATTTATCTTCTATAAACATATCATTTGTAGTACACTGCTGAAGATTCCTATGCCACCATCGTCTGTTCCCAATCTGATAAAATCTCTTCTTTGATAATATCCAGATACAAAGCTCTGCCTGCACTCTCATGTTCGCTGTAGAACTCATTCTTAACAGTCACGATGTGGCATCAGTCTACATGTCATGTCCGACGACAGGTGGTGGAAGAATGTATGGTGGTACAAGCACAGAAGAATATTACTAGCCGTAAGTCAACGCAGGCCTGTCATCTACAGCAACATGGATGAGTCCAGGATTATGTGAAATAAGTCAGGCAAGGAAAGACAGCGTTCATACTCACCTGTGTGGGCAACAATGAGCCCTTAGTAATGACAAGATCAGTTAGATAAAAGGAACAAGTTCTGGAGTTGTCTAGCACAGTGGGGCAAAGAGAGACTGTAACAATATATCCTGTATCTAAAACCTGCCACAAGGGGGGATTTGTGAACACTCCCTCCAAAAAGAAGTGATGTTTATAGAGATGGATATACTAATTACCCAGATTTGATCTTTGTAGACTGTTACACACATGCATAAATATCATGCTCATAAACATATATAATTACTACCAGTTTAGAAACAAGGAGCCCCCCAACAAATAAAAGCATTAAATCTCCTTACAGGCATGTAACTCCATTATCTACCCTAGGGACATTATAGTTCTCTTGCTGCCAACTCAAATACTCCCTTCAGTGGGCCCTAGACTCTTCAGTTCTCTCCCATGTAAGCACTTTTAAAATGACCACCAATACCCAATACCGTCTCTTTACTACACTTCAAGAGCTTGGATCAGCTCTAGCTTGCTCCTTTATTTCCACCAAAGAACATATCCAATTTCAGATAGTTGAGAGTATTAGCAATTTCCTTCATTTGAAAATCAACTCTGTGGTTGTGTCAAAATGACCATTTATTAAGAAGAAAACCAGTATGTACCCTTCAAGAAGCTTTAAAAAATTGTAATTAAGCAAAAGCTCTTATTCAAGAATAAAATAAATTCTTTAGAGATAAACAGCCCACAGGCAGCTGCAATGGGGCAGTGGGATGGGGCAGTGGAATGGGGCAGTGGGCACTGCCTCCGCCTGGCTCACCTCTCCCGAGGAACAGCAAACCAGTATTCAGGCTGCTTTCTTCTCTTGCTGTATTGCTGGACCATAGAGGTGGTGTGACTGGCAAAGGATTTTCTCATTGGCTTTCCCACTTTGATGCACAGAAACATGGGTGGGGTCTTACTCTTTTCTTCTTTTGAGGGAAGTATATCTGAATCACATGAGAAAGCATTCCTCAATCCCAATAACATCAGTGACAGCTAAAGTTCTCAGCTTACAAAGAGGGGTTGGCCACATGTGGTAGCAGGATTCAGCTACATAGAATTAGACCTAATGAACCATCAGACTTTCTTTGGCACACAAGGACAATATGCTTGCATGTTTCAGGTTAGTACGTGTCATACGGCGTGATATACATTAAAGGTGAGCATAAAAATCAGCACAGGGACAAATAGAATCCACAACTAATTTTAGAACTAAAATATCTCAAAAGCATTTTTGGCTGGGCAATGGTAGCATGCACCTTTAATCCCAGCACTTGGGAGGCAGAGGCAGGGAGACCTCTGTGAGTTGCCACCAGTTAGCCCTGGTATATGAAACAAGTTCTACCAAGGGTACATAGTGAGACCTCCTCTCCTCTCCTCTCTCCTCCTCTCCCCTCGCCCCTCTTTTCCCTTCCTACCCACCCCCATCTCTCTCACACATCCATACACAGTTTCAACTTCTTTAAATTTAGGCATGCAAGATAAGAAAAAGAAAATTGTTTGAAAGAGTTAAATAATTCTGAAATAGAAGTCTATATTTAGTTCAAGTTCTAAATAGATACTATGGTTTATAAATTTTTACCTCAGTCACTAATGCTCAGTGACAACCTGCCACAGGAAATAAAGTGGACCATAATCAGACACAGGGCTTCCATGTACACACACATGGAAATGTTCGTACGCACGTACATACATACATACATACATACATACATACATACATGCGTACGTACACCAAACAAACTATCCAACTAAAATCAAACCAACCAAACAAACAATATCTTACCTTCAATGGGTACCTGAATTCTCTTTAGCAGCCATAATTGAATCTCAGATTTATTATCCATCTGTGCACCTTGACAGATCTTGTCTAGAGATGATTCCAAAGAATCCAGAGCCTCTTTATTGTTAATTACAGTTTCTTCTCCACTAGGATCTAGTTTTGGGGGTAGAGTTTCTCCCCCCTTTGCCCAGAGTGTCCCTGGCTCTTTGATGCCCTCAGGTGGGGAACCACCTGCTTGGGGAAGGGAGCTACTAAGTGTGATGTCTATTCCTCCTGGGTCAATACTTTTGCAATCACATGGTTCTGACTTCTGCACATTTTCTGACAGCTGTGACCCTTCTTGGTTTTTATTTAGGTAAAATTCAATGAGTTTAACTTTATCTAGATCTTCATGTATATTCAGCGAGCTTTCCCTCCAGTTTTCTGGGGATCCAGACTGTTTGTCTACTTCTGGCGCTTCATCTTGCTTCTCACCAGTTTCTAAATCTAGGGTCCTCTTCAGCTCAGCATCACTCTCTGTTCTCAGAAGGTCCGGGGCTGGCCACAGCCGCCCTTTCTTTGCAGACGTGATTGTTTGCGGCACATCTTTCTTTTGGGCATCTCCTTTGTCCATCCCACTCCCAGATTGAGAAGAAAGTTCTTCCAAGTCAACAAAGTCCTCATCTCCTAAAAGACAGTTTTCTTTGGCTGTAGATTCCAAGGCAGCAAGCATGCTTGAAGGTCCCTTGCTGAGGTGAGTCACTGAGGGAGACTCACTGGCTGTTCCCCTGGAAGATTCCAGATTCTTTAATTTCCACAACTCAGAGTCGTCTGGGGGCTCCTTACGTGTGCGTTCCATCGACTCCTCAGAAGAGCCCACTGATTTGGCATCTAAAGCAAGGGTCCTCTCCCCGTTCTGCTGTCGTTTTTCCTTGTTGATAGACTTGAATTTACTGAAGGGATTGATATCCTTCTCTGAAGCCAGGTCCTCCCATTCTCCAGGCCTGTACAGAGGACAAAGATCCCGAGGTAGGTCACTGTAAGGGCAAAAACGGTGGATGCACATGGAATGTTAAAAACAAAAGCAAAAATGAAGTGGAAAAAAGAAACAAAACAACACAACCAAAACATATTCCAACTTAAAGTTATGCTGAAGATGATTTCAAAATAAGAAAATGAAACCAAGAGATTGATTATAAATTAAAATATAACTCAACCAAAAGGAGTGACAAATGAATGAGCCACATGAGTTGTACCTTCTGATAGATCATACAGATGTGTTCAGAGCATACAGATGTTACCTGAAAGACTCTTCAATAGGAAATTAGTTTCTGATATTTACAAAGGAAAGCACAAAGGAGAGATTTAGCATCAATGACTAAAATTCCTTAAGTCAAATGTTTCCCTTTTTATAAATTTGTAGAAAGTAGAAATCAACTGCAGAATCCTGAAAGGCTTCCTGATAACTCTGCTCATTTATCTGGTCTCTATAGACTGACTTTGAATATATATATGTATATATGTGTATGTATAGTTTCTTGCCTTAAAAATGGATTTTTCTAATTAAAAAAAATCTACTACTTACAAAAGAAGTACAAAAGTTAACTTTCATTATTACTGGAAGTAATAGCACTTTACAATTTAAAGCGGTACATCAAAATAACTTTTATAGAAAAGTTCTTAAAATATTGCATATGTTTTTAAGGCATTTTAAAATATATAATAACAATAATGTAACAACTGATTTATTAACTGAAACATGTTATCCCAATATATAGTTAGTTACTGCCCTCTTATAGGAGATGTTTAGAACTCAGATTTGAATTGTATGAAAGATTTGCTAAGTATGTTCTTCCAAGTTCAAAAATCAATGGCCAGGACATTATATGTTTTAGTTAGGTTGATAGTTTGCTAGTTTTTATGTTGTTGCTTTGCGAGTTTGTTGAGTAAACCAGACTGCCTTTGAACTTACAGCCCTCCTTCCTGGACCTCCCAAGGGCTAGGATTACAGCATGTACCACTACACTTGGTTAAGAAAAATACACATTTTAGTATGACCAGAAAAATCTTAAGGCCCGCTGTGTCTTCGCCTACAATACTAGTAGAATCTCTGCTGAGTTCATAGAGATACAGTACTCCTTTCCAAAGTGAATACTTTCAATTTCAGATTATTAAGTGTGCTTTCTTAAAGGGTTTCAAGTAGTACTTTTTCCATTCTAGCTTTAAAAGAAACGATCATACCAATAAAAGAACTAAGTTCCAAGCAGTTTTGAGTTTAAACAAAGACTTCCTCCCTGGAGTTACTTTATGAAGTATTTGTATTGATAACCTAGGCTTTTCCCAATAGGAAATGAAACCCCATATAAGTGCTAGGCTCTACTAAATAGCTTTAATTTACCGTTCAATTTAATTAGCATTCATAGGAGCCTATGCTAAAACACAGTAGCAGCCGAGCATTTGTCCTGTAGGAATGTGAATATGCTAAGTGAAAATGCTGAAGATGCTTTGATTTCAGTTAAATAACTGAGATCATTCTCTCACATTGCAACTTGAAATTTCATCTTGCAGACCAAAGACTGTGGCGTGTCCTTCACTGTCAAGAATGCCTCGCATCCTTGATTAACTAGTCAGAGTTCCTTCATAGACAGACAAGCTCTCTTACCTCTTGGCTGACACAGTCGCCTGCATTCCATTAGCCTCCCACCTAAGCTTGCCCACCTCCCAGTCTCCTTCCTTTTCCCCATCCAGGCTGCCAGCTCCCCAAGTCAGATGGATTTAACCATAAGCTCTGTGTGTCTGCAACTGCCAAGCATGCTTCGGCAAGGTATACAATGGTGGCAACTGGTTCCTCTGCTAATTAATATTTTTCTACATTTAGCCAGGCAACTAATAGGGAATCAACAATCCTCCTACTTTCTGTGGCAGCTGGAACTATTAAATATCTACCCAAACCCTAAACCCCAAAACCCAAATGTGAGGATGGCTAGAGTTGTTTAGTCACTCCCTATCTCCCTACCTTGCCCTCTCTCTTTTCTGTCCTTTTTTTCTCCTGTCTTCCCTCCCTCCCTCCCTTCTTCCTCCCCTCCTTCTTTCCCTCTTTCCTCCCTTTCGCTCTCTCCTGTCTCCTCTCCCTTGGCCCCTTTCTCCCTCGCTATCTCCCCCCCCACACCTCAGGTAGATTTAAAGTAGATATTTTTTTCCTTTACGATTTGTAAAACTTTACTGTTTTCTTAATCATTTCTATTTCCAATTTTTTGATTTTTCAACTTCATAACACAACAGCTCCATATTTTGGTTTCCTTCTACATTGTCCCTTGCTTCTACAATGCCCTGGCTTCTGCAAATACCTTCACTCTGAAATTCCATTTAAAGCTCTCTCTAGCCCCTGGGCTAAAAAGAAGAAATGGCCCTTACGATGGCAAAGCGTCTTTGATCTTCATGTGGGAAATGTCGTTGTACAGGGCAATGGAGACCACCTCTTCCATGGGGCAGATGAGACCATATTCTTCACACCCGTTTTCAATCACCAAGGGATCAGACTTATGAGGGTCAAACATGATGTTGTTAGGAGTGACAATCATGACACCCCCAACCACACCCTGCAGAAGGAAGAAACACAAGGGATTACTTGGGATAGGAAAGTATTCCTCGGCCATCACAGGACCTTCAGTTACTTTGTCCTTCCACAGTCTTTCCCTTTGTGAGCCACAGTTTCCTGTGTGACAATCACATCCATGTTAGGAAAGAACAATGCTGGGCTGGGGAGTCATCAGAGTCATGACAGTTAGCTCCTTGTTGCTCATACAGCTGCAACTGGATGACAGTGTTGAGATCTTGCCCCATACACTCATGTCTCACGGGTCCCCATTTCTCTATCAGAAACATAGCAGACTGTCCCAAGCCCATTGATGATCAAGAACAAGGTACTTTACAATCCACTCAGCAAGACATCACCATGTTTCTAGTCTTTCTAGCTCATGTGTGTAGTGCTGAAGGAGAATCAGAATCGTAGTGCCAAAGAACAGTCCAATACTTTTGTCTAACATAACTGCAAGTATCATTGCCAGCAAAATTAAATATAAGCAACAACAGGGAAAACTTGCAGTTGCAATTTGTACAGCTGTGTTGCAGAAATTAGTCAGTAGCCTATAGATAGTCAACTCTGGAGATTTCTCAGACTACACTGAATTCCCCCGTTGATCAGCAAGATAGTATCTATGAGGGACCTTAGGATACTCCCAGTAGCTAAGCCAATTGATATCTTTGATGAGTTTTGTAATTATCTTTCTGAATTATTTGCAGTTCAGGATTTTTTTTAAAGCTTTTCTGCTGTTTGCAATCTGATGCAAATTTTCAACTCTAAGCACAGACTATCAATACAGACCTTTCTTCAAAAGTTCACAAAAAGTTGGGTTTCTTTGGTAAACATCAACAATCAGAAAAGTAAGAATATGATACAGCTGAAGTAATTTTGAATACTAACATCCACAGTATCAACACTAAATTGAAAACTTCCATTCCCTAGATTAGCGATAAAATCATTACAAGAATCATCTCCTTTAGGTACCACACCCCAATAGTTAAATCTTAGTATCATTCTTATCCTATAGATGGTAAAAGTGTACAATAAGGATACCCTAGCACCTTTCTCACATCTCATATCCAGGAAGTGGTAAGAGTTGGAACTTAAATCCTGCAAGTCTTTACTGTTAAACTCAGACTGTCTCCGTAGAAATTTACAGGTCAAGAGCTTTAAAAAAAAAGGTAAATCCAAAAAAAAAAAAAAGGGAAAATCAAAAATCACACATTCATTTAAGTAGGGAAAAAGCAAAGCAACCAGTAAGAAAAATCAATGAATGTTTGTCAAGTCGTGCACTGAAGCTGTGGATAAAAATATTCTAACAGAGCCCCCCATGCAGCAGTGACCCATCTTGGTTAGTTTCTGCAGATCCCTGACCAGTCAGCAACCAGGGTTGCAGGTACCTTTCCATCCGTGAAGTAGCGACAGTTCATCTTGAGGAATTTTACGACACCTGGCTCATCCTCTTCAGAAGTGGATGATAAGACCCTCTCGATGGGTTTTAAGGCCTTTCTAGCTAAGTCCGCATCCTATAAAAGCAAAAATGTCCAAAATTAAGGGGAAAAAAATCACCCTGCAAAACATACTATACCATAAGTATGCTAGCTCTACTTTTCCTTGAACATTAAAAAGAAAAGTAACACATGTCCTTCAAAATTACCACAAATTATTTAGTTTTGGTTTTCAAAAGTTTCTCTATTTGTAACCTCATACATTCTTGACTATAAAAGCAGAATATTAATACCTTTCCTTAGAAGCTTGCTAAAAGTTGGATTTTTTTTGTAAACACCAACAATCAGAATACTAAACTCATGACACAGCTGAAGTAATTTTTAACGTTAGCATCATCCGTGTCAACCCAAATTGAAAACTTTATTTCCTAAATTAGAGGTAAGATTGGTAAGTATCCCAATCAAACTAAGATTGAAAAATATATGTAAGCCCATAAATGTTTTTGAAAATATCCAAAATGAAAGAACTCATTGTAGATTACTGATTCCAATTTCCTAGGGAAAAGCACAATGTACTCACTTAATTGGGGATTTAGCATCCTGCTTTTGTACAGTGGTCTCAACCTGTGGGTAGTGACCCCTTTGGGGACTGAATGACCCTTTCACAAGGGTCACCTAAGACCATCAGAAAACACAGGTATTTATATTATGATTCATAACAGTAGAAAAATTACAGTTATGAAGGAGAGACAAAAATAGCCTTCTGGTTGCGGTCACTACAACATGAAGAACTGTATTAGGGGATCACAGCATTCAGAAGGTTGAGAACCACTGCTTTTACACACAGAATGCACTTTTACCTTTGAGACCTTTGGTAAAAAGGTGCGTTGAGATAGGATACATTCTCTCAACTAATCTCACCACTTTACAAAAGTTTTCAGATGCAGTCTTTTAAATATATAGTATACTGATTTTCACAACTAATCATAGGAATGAACTTCTGTGTGTAAGATGCCAGCATACATACAGGCAACTTATCGTACTCTGCATCTGATGATGATGGGGAGACTGTAGCACCAGGGGTGGATGACGAGAGCCGTAAGGTACTAGAAGGGATGTTGGCATCTGGCACAAACAGGACCTGAGAACAAGAAAGCATGGCTGGGTGAGGGTCTAAGTCAAGCAACTCCTGAATTCACACTCAGGGAACTCACACCTCTGTGCATCACACTCAGTGCTTCAGTAAGACCCAGGGAGCTATCATTCTACTAATAAGCAACACGGCATCTTATAAACTACCCATGAACCATACGTAGCAATATAAATGTTACAGAGCAATATAAATGTCTATGGAATACTGACACTGCAGGAGAACCAGCGAGCATCTGATCAGTCCAGGTAAAGCCTGCACAGTAGGAACTGGGAAGGAAGGGGGAAGAGCTTTTGAAGGAGTAGGACTAACACAGCTTGAGTATACCTCAAATACTTGGGGCCAGTACTTCAGTGCATACATGGTGGTTTGAATCGGTATGCACCTCATAGACTCATGTGTTTCAATGCTTGGCCCACGGGAGTGGCACTATTAGGAGGTTTGGCTTTGTTGGAGTAGGTGTGCCCTTGTTAAAGGATGTGTGTCACTGTGGGGGCGGGTTTTGAGGTCTCCTATGCTCAAGCTCTGCCCAGTGTGGAACACAGTCTCCTTCTGCTGCCTGTAAATCAATATGTAGAACTTTCAGTTTCTTCTCCAGCATCATGTCTGCCTAGATCTTGCCATGACTCCCCCATGATGATAAAGGATTAAACCTCTAAAATTGTAAGCAAGCCCCAATAAAAATGTTTTCCTTTATAAAAGTTACCTTGGTCATGATATTATGAAACACTAAGACTATATATATAATATGTAATGTTCATGTATATAAATATATACTTTTCTATTATTTATTATATTTGTTTATTAATATATTAAATATGTTTAAATGTATAATATATATATGTATGTATATATGCCTGCATAGACTTAGCTAGCTTTAATAATCTGAAAACTCAAATCTAAAGTGTCCCAAATAGGCGTAGTTTCAGAATTTGGAGCATTTTGGAGTTTAGATTTCTGCACTGTAATTGCTAAAGCTATATAAGGAGGGAAAAGGAAGCATGGCAGGCTACCGCAGAGAATACTCCTGTGCCAGGTAGCACTGGAAAGTCCAGGCTGGTAACTATACAGAGCAGGTTACAAGACAATACCAATATAGTCATCCCTATATTTTCTCTCCTCATTGTATTTTACTGATTAAGACTAAAACTAACCCAACAAGTGTATAATAATCTATACTGCAAAACAGTCTGTCTCCTGGACTGGTATTATGATACCATAATTCAATATTCTTTCAGTGAAACAGCTACATTTGGGCATGGAATCAAATATAATGTTAAAATAAAAACCTTTGTTGTTACTGACAGAATTTGAAGGCAATCATTTAACAACTGATCTCAGATCAATAGTGTTAACATTTCTATTTTAGCATTAGCTATCTAAATGTCACTTCAGAGAGCTGGTAAGATGGCTCAGTGTTTGTGTTCCAAGTCTGATGACCTGAGAAACCCAAGAAAAAGCCAGATGCAGCATCACATCTAGATCTCCAGCACTCTTAACAGGAAGATGGGAGGAGAAGCACAGGGACGCTTGCAGGCCAGCTAGTCCTGAGCACACAGCTGAGCACCCGAGACAAGACTGATGCTGCCTAATCCACAGAGAGAGAAAACTGCCTTCTAAAAGTTTTCTGTCACACTTATGTGTGCTCCTAAACTTTCATGCCCCCACACACAGGGGCCGGGGACAAAAAAACCTCATTTGAATCCAGAAAAAAAAGAATGAGCTAAAAACCAGAAAATACATTAAGATAGGGATGAGAAAAATCTAAGTCAATGGATGTAAGATGACGACTGCTGAAAATATGTACCACATAATTAATAAACACCTATGGAAAGGTTGACCAAAAGCAGCTCTGAGTGTCCATAACGCAACACAAAGAGACATCGGCGTTCATAAGATAAAACCAAGCCCGTTTCTCAGGGGTGTAAGTACTCTCCTACGTCGTCTCATACAAGCCTCATGCTGAACTACAGAGCCTCCATGATGTGCTAGCCATGAATATAGTGAGGACATTTAGAGGCTTACTCCTTATCACCCCTTCAGTATCAGCTGACAGCAACTGCCCAGGCTTTGAGTTCTATGAAATCCATTCACAGATGATCCCAGTTGTGTGGTCTTAGTGCATAGTGCCTGCATTTATCTCATGTAGAGAAATGAAGTCTCTGAACTCTGGGAAAGTATCAGGCAACACAGTAGGAGACAGCATGTGAGAAAGCTGAGAAGCTGGGCAGGCTTCTTCAGTGTGGAATTGGGCCTTAACCATGGCTGGGGAGAGGTTTTCTTCCTGTGCTTGTTCCAATACAAGACAATGGAGGTTTGAGGTGTTAATGTTCTTTATCATAAAACGAATTGGCTTTTTAACCTAGAGAAAAAAATTAAGTATATATATATAGCCAAAGTGTCTTACAAGAAGGAAAACATTATTAAGTGTATATTCACAGGACACTTAAAAGAGTACAAAAATACATGTGTTATACATTAAACCACATTTGGAACAAGTAACAAAACAGTCTAACTCAGAGCCTCCTGAAAAGCACTGTAGGTTTCAGCTATTTTTTTATAAAGCTATTCTGATCCTATTATTTGCCTTTTGAAGCAACAAGTCTAGGGTAAGATTTCAGTTAATGTAACGAGAAAGTCTTCCTCCCAGCCATCATCAAAGCCAGCCTAGTTCTCTGCCTCAAGGCCATCAGCAAACCAATCTCAGAAGGATAACTCTCAAACTTTCTGGAAACAGAGTAAATCAAATTGGCTCAGATTGATCAGGTCCACTGGCGAGATACAATTAGATATCCAGTAATTTCGTGGACAAGGTTGTACTTGACCTTAGAGATGTACTTTCAGTGACTGAGCCATTAACACATTGGTTGAATGCATTTTTGGAGTTAAAAAAAAAAGCAGCTAAATATGACATCCTGTACCGAGTACCAAAGGTTACTGTATCAGAGTAGAGAGGAAGCACTGTACATTTGTCAGTTTATTTAGGCTGGCTACAGTTATTAGAATCCTGAAGCACAATGTAGGTTGGTTTTCTCCTGACGATCTTTCTCAATGTCTTTCTTTTAATTTGGCAGGTGGACAATTATCGTACAAATTAAGATTAAAAAAAACAAGCAAAATTATTTCGAAATTAAAATAAAATAATGGCATGTTTCCTAATAGATTAAATTGAACTCATAAATCAGAGTTAAATCAGATTGTAAGGGATCTGTGTTATATTTGACAGGAAAAAAGTGTTTATTAAGCCGGGCGGTGGTGGCGCACGCCTTTGATCCCAGCACTTGGGAGGCAGAGGCAGGTGGATTTCTGAGTTCGAGGCCAGCCTGGTCTACAGAGTGAGTTCCAGGACAGCCAGGGCTATACAGAGAAACCCTGTCTTGAAAAAAACAAACAAACAAAAAAGTGTTTATTAATTTAAAACTCTTCTTGACGGCCCCGGAAACACTTCCAAAGATAAAGATGGTGATGATAAATGTGTCAATCAAAATCCAAGGCTACATCTCTGAGCTATTTATCAGAACTAAGACTCCTTCAGAACTCTTGGCTCTAAGGGAGATGAATGAGTCATCATTGAAGACAATTCTGTAGCACCAATACAAAGTTATTTATTATGGTAACAAAAAATGAAGGCAAACTTTCTAAAGTAATGTTCAACATAAAAAATAATTACCTGGCCTGGAACAATTGTGTGTGTGAAGAGTTTATTCAGTTCCACTAATTTATTGGGAGTGACGTTAAACTTCAGTGCAACAGAGTTGAGGGTGTCCTGGCTTCCGGCCTACAGGAGTGAGAAGAACAAGTGTCAGGTTATCTAAGATAAAGCCAAAACCAAAACAAACAAACAGATACCAAGCACCAACTTGGTCAGGACAACAGTCAACAAAACATAACGGCTCTGTCCAGATGTACCATAAAAAGGAGCAGAGATGAAATTTTCCTTTTTCTGTCCTTCCTTGAGCGTGGTTATTTTGTGCTGCTGTTGTTTTTCAGTTTTGTATTGAGACAAAGTCACACTTCAGCCTGAAAATCACTAGGTAGCCCAACTTCGCCTCAAGATTGCAACAGCCCTTGTGCCTCAGGGGCACTGAGATTTCAGGTGTGACTACCACGCCTGGCTCATTTATAACACTTAATAAAACTACACACAAAAGCATCTTAACAGCAGTTCACTTCTGGACTTCCTCATCTTCTGACGTTACCGCGCACTAACAGAGTTCTAACTCTCCTTTGGCAAAACTTAGGTGTATTACTTTACTTTCTATTAGAAAACACATCCAACCCTAAGGATTCTCAGGCTTTAGCATCAACATAAAACATGAGACAGAGTCCACACCCTAGAACTGGTCCAGTCCTGCTGCTCACTGGTTGCATGGCTTTCCATGGTCAGTCTAAAACAAGGATTTATCAGAAAAACACAGTCATCGAAGAGCAACATTTAGTTTCTTCTAAGAAGTCAAAGCAGACCATCATTAGTGCTATTTCACAGTGAATTTAAATAGAACTACAATTGTGTGCCCACATCGTATGCCGTCTATGATAAATAGAACACAGCTGCTGGGCTCCAGGAGCTCAGAGTGCAGCGACAAAGGCGAGTTCATGGCACAAAGAGTGAGGTCACAATAAACGACCCTTGTGCAGCATCATCTATAGATTCAAGGATATGGAAACATACCTTGACATGGGTCAAGAATACGACACGAAAGGGGTCTAGTTTCTGCCTTGAATAAGAGAGCTAAGGCACAAGATAGACATTAAACCAAGTATCAGTTAAATGTTGCAGTGTATTTGTGCATACTGTGAACGGGTAGATTGTTATTTACTGGAAAAACCAATTTCTAGTTTGTGGGATGGCCTAACACACACCTTCAATCCGAGATTTCTGTTTATTGTAAACAGGATAAAATAAAGTCAACCATAAGTCAAGAGGTGTAGAAGCAACCAGTTGACAGGGAGTGAACATAGGAAAATACCATAGCAAGTAAGAAGTCAGGACGGATGGAAAGACGTACAAAAAGTAGTAAGGAAGGACACTCAGTTTGAGGGGTTTTGAGCCAGCATGGAGAAGGAGGGATTATTCTGGGGACGTCGGCTGAGGAGTAAGGTCAGCCGGGTGCTTCCTCTGCCTGTGTGAGTTAGCAGGCTTTCACTCCAGCATCAGGTTTCCAAATCTTTATTGGTAAAATGGAATGTGTGAGATTTTGTTTAAAAAAAAAAAAACCAGCAGTTAAAATGACTTACTGATAAATGAGAGGGAAAAAAACCTGATCTAGACTTTCTGGATGGTGAGAAGAGGTAGGAGTGGCCATGGAGAGCAGGGGAGGTGTGTCTAAGAGCCTGGTTTGTATAAATACTTGGATCAAAATGCTATTGCTCTTTGGAAAAGGATCAGGCATAGAGAAGATCTAAGGGGATATGTTAAGCAGCAACAGATCGATGGCTTTGAATCTTAGAGAAGATGTATGGGACAGACACCTACACTTCGTAGTCATGGCTAGTCTGAAGACAATCCATCTGTTTGTCTGGTGGAACAAAGCTGTGGGCATCCTAAACTGAAAAGGTTCCTCCTTTGTTGCAAAGGTCATCTCATTAAACCAGGTTCTAGTAGGATATATGAAGTGGATCCCTTCAGGGCCTTCCAGATGATCCTAAGCAAGGTTGATAATCAGTAGAGTGACAGACATCGTAGCCAGAGAGAAAATGTGGATTGGTCTTAAGCACTGTGTATTCACATGCTAAGTTCTGCATCCCAAGATCAGGCTGCAGTCTGACCACGGGCATTGTATTGACCAATGTGCTGTAAAGAATGCTCCCTAATAATCTCCAATTGTTAAAAAGCTAGAGCCTATGACTGGGCAAGGGGGAGAGAAAGGCAGAACTTTGGATGGAGTGAGGAAATCGGAGAAGAGATCACAAGGAAAGAGAAGGAAAAGGAAAAGGAGAGGAAGGAGGTCACCATGAGGTAGGATGAACCACGAGAATGGACCATAAGCATGTGGTCATGAAAAGCTTACCACACATAGTACAGAACAAGACTCAGCTGGCATGTAATGGGGCATTTATTGTGTTTTAATAAATGAGTCGGGTGAGAATAGCTCAGAGCTTGTCCAGCACAGAGCTAGCAGCTTATTAATAAAATCTGATGTCTCTGTGTTATTTACTTGGGAATTAAATGGGATAGAGTGGGTCAGAATCACCCTTCCTACATAAAATTACTACAACAGAGGGGAAAAAAAAGACATGACCTAAAACAAGTCTTGAGAAACCACATTATGTGATGGGTACTCGAGAAGGATGTAATGAAGGGCGAGGTGAGTCAAGGAAAAAGTGTGCTTCCATCATACAGCACTAGTGATCACTCCAGCCATCCGACTGCACTTACAGTGTACTCCATGGTACCCTGCGGCTTCTGCACCACCATCTTCTTCTCTTTCTTATCATGAGTTTTGCTTAGATTGTCATCTGAAGAAGAAATCATACACTGATGAATAATTTCATTTTCAGGAATTGAAGACACACTATATCTATATTATATAAGAATCCACTATCAAATTAATATAAGAAATGATATCAGTAGGAAAGTAGGCAACAGGTAGAAACGGAACACACTCATAAGGTATACTGCATCTGTGATCACCAGAATAAATGATTAATACCCATTGTAACCAATAATACAAACAAAAATAGGGTAAAGTTTCCAGTTATTAAAATATTAGTTTAAATGGGAATATCTAATGGAATGAAGTTGCAGCCAAACCAGTAAAATCACTATATAAACTATGTACAATGCAAATAACTTTAGCCTTTTAGGAAGTGCTTTGACTTATGTAACAACAACGATAAGATGTTCATTCTCTGATTAAGTTATCTTTCTTTTAAGAGGACAAACTTCAAAAAAGAAATAGTAAACACATATTTCTTAAAATTTTATAATATAAACATAGAAGAACCATAATTCTAACAACAGATTAGGGTATAATATAATTTGCTATGTTTTTAGTTTTGGTTTGTTTTATTACTTTGAGACAGGTTCTAGAGTATCATAGGTTAGAACTGAACTTTTTATGTAGCCAAGGATGACTTTGAACTCCTGATCTTGCTGCCTCCACCTATGATTCCCTGGAGTTACAGGTATGCACCACCACATTTTATGCCGTGCTGAGGAGTAAACTGGGTTTTATGCATGGTAGGCAGGCACTTCCCAGATTACTTTTCTGTTACTACAAGTCAAAATGGTCTGCTATTGCCAGCTTCATATGATTCCACTGAATTGTTATAGTTAAATACATTATGATATATTAATATAAATATAAAAAACATGTAGACATATTCTAAATGATTAAAAAAATAGGAGTAACAAGAGAATGTCAAATTGAAAACAAGAAGAGATACTCCAACATTTATCTGCACAGAAAAAATGCATATCAAAATTAGAACTAGATACTTGATCTCAGGAAGAAACATGAACGGCTCCCAGAGATGTAACCTGATTCAGCCACTGCAGCTCCAAGCACCTACAGGTTCTGTATCTCTGAGCAGTTAAACTCACAGATGCACAGGCTCTCCCATGAGGAAAGCACTTTGTATATACCACGGTAGTCTGCTTGAGGATGGCCATCACTGTCCTCTGAGGCAAATGTGAATGAAGCTGAGGAAATGTGGTAGTTGTGCTCTGGAATTCCAAGGTAGTCATTAGAGATAACAAACCAGAGGTACACAGCCACAGAATCATACCAAGAGGAACAGGATAAATAGACCAGTACCATTCATACCAGTCTAAAACAGTCACACAAAGTTTTTAAGAACACATAAAAGAAGTTAAACCTATCACACCAAATATAATAGAATGATGTGTCACAGGAAGGAAAATGACAGAGGAGAAACAGGATATAAACAAACAAAACAAACACACAAACAAACAAGAATGTGCTTGTCTCTGAACATTCATAATTTCCTATAAATAAAAGAAATGGGAATAATTCAGCCACCTACATCTAATGTTTTACAGCCTCCCACCTCCAGAAATTACTGACATTCGGATCACCTATGCAGAGATCCAGGGATGCTGGGTAAGAACAGGAGGTATCAAAACATGGAAGAAGTTGCATCATAGAGGAGTTTCCTAGCTTTCCACTATTTCCTATAAACACTATTTAAAATTAAATAAAAAGTCAAGAGGACCGAATGAAGAAAGTGCCAGGAATACAATCTAATCATCTTCAGGTGGCCACATCTGGGTAACTTCAGATAACTGAACTATTAAGCTAAGACAAGCCCATGTTCAAACAATTTAACCACAGGATTTTTGATTCTCAGAACACATGTGAAAACTGGGTCATCTAGATCTGAGAAGGTAAGCAATGAAGTATTAACATTCTTTTTTCTTAATTCCATCTAAAGAGTTGGAGAAACTAAAATTTGTGGCCTTTGTTTGTTTACATGGGAAATGGACCTCAGGCTACCACTACCAGAAACATTCCTCCAAAGGTTCTTTTTGGCACAAGGTTGATGTTTATTCTCTCTCAAAAAAAAAAAAAAAGTGTGTGTGTGTTTGTGTGTGTATGCATTTTTGTGTATGTGTGTGTATGTGTGTGCATGTATGTATGTGTGTATGGTGTGTGTATGTATATGTATGTGTGTATGTGTGTGTATGTATATGCGTGTGAGAGTGTGTGTGTGAGTGTGTGTATGGTGTGTATATATGTGTGTGTGCTGTGTGTCTGTATGTGTGTGTATATGTATGTGTGTATGTGTATGTATGTGTGTATGGTGTGTGTATATATGTATGTGTGTGTATGTATGTTTGTGTATGCGTGTGTGTGTGTGTATGTGTGTGGTGCCACAGGCCCATGTGGTCAGAGAACAATTTCCAGAAAGCAGATTCTCTTCTTTGATCATGGCAAAGGCTACTCATTATTTTATTTATTTCTTCTTTTGAGAGAGGAGCTCATCTAGCCCAGGCTTGCCTCAAACTCACTATGTACCTGAGGATGACCCTCAACTCCTGATTATCTTGCCTCTGCCTGCAGAGTCAAGACCACAGTGGGTTTTATGCAGTGCAGGTGATCAAAGCCAGGCCTCCTGCCTGCCATGCGCACACTCTCCCAACTGAGCCACATCCACAGCGCTGCTCAGCCCTCTAATGTCTCCTCTACTCTCTTTACGACACTCTTTCTCACTGGCTTCAGAAATCGCCCTTACCACATTCCTTTGCTAGATCCAAGAAATGAGGAGCACTGTTGTAGGCCTACTAACTTGTGGCAGTTAATAGACTGCAAAACTGCAAAAGAAGTTATGTTCTGTCTGGATAAAACTTTCAGTAAAAATTTAATATGTACACTTGAATTTATGGAGAAACAATAAAGTTTCCCTGTCACTGGCATACATTAAAGAAACGTATAACATGAAAAACAACTGAAACAAAGGCATGTCTCACGAACATGGCCAAGGATGGAGGTGTGCAAGGGGAGTCCAAGAAAACAAGGGTCTTATGGCCTCAGTTTCTTCAAAAAAAAAAAAAACAAAAACAAAAACACACAGAGTTATTCTTGGAATATGCTTTTGTGTCCCTATCAGGTATAATAGACAGGCGTGTGTTTACTTCAGAGTATCCATTACAATTATTTGTTTTTATTATTCATTACATATCATTTATAATTCATTGTAATTATTCATTACATATTATTTGTTTACATGCCTTTGTGGAAAAAACATAATTTTGCCATGTGCGGCTTGTCTTTGTGACTGTACTTTCCTTGTGTGGCTTTTCTTAACCCTCAGAGTATAAGCTGATGCCCTGAATAAAGCTGCATGAGATTTTAGTCTGCTTCATTTTTAGGCTCCACTGTCTGAGCTCTATTCTCAAGAGAGGTAAATGACAGGAGAGACGACAATTCAGTCAGTAACGTGCTCTTATGCAAGCACGAGGACAAGGCTCATATCTCTAATACAGAAAGCTGAAGAAGGGCGACATCTGTAATCGCAGCTCTGGAGAGGCAGAAGAAACAGGCAGGCCTCTGGAGCTCCCTGACCAGTTAGTCTAGTTGAATGGGTGATCTCCAAGTTTAATGAGATCCTGATTCAGTAAGTAAGCAAGTAAGTAGTCAGTAAAGCAGAGCCCTTGTGGCATGTACACGCCTTCAAGCTATGCTGAAGAGGTGGAAACAGAATTGTGAGTCCCAAGTCTGCATGAGTCACATATTTTCAATAAATAAGGAAACACTCCACATATGTCCGCATGCATGCACGCACGCACGCACACGCGTACATCACTTCTTTCCAGTGTCTACAAATGTGAAATCCTTGAGGCGGAGCTCAAAGGGAGCGGTCTTTGATGTCTTGAGCTGTTACAATGCCATCTGATGCATAAGGAAGAAGGAACTTTCTGATACAGATCAACTTCCCAGACATGTCTGATTGTGGGTAAAACTTTTCACTGCAACAACACTACACTGGGAAAAATCACATGTACCTGTCAAAGCTACAATCCAAACAAAATGCTCTATGGTTGGCCATAAAGCAGTAAGTAACTGGCTAATTTTAAGAACCATAATCATCTTTGTCCATAGTGGCACAATGTAAAGTTCCATTTTACTTCCTAAATTGTTTTTACAGTGAGATAGAAAGACTCACTCCGTATCCCAGTGAATTAAATCAAGACGGGCTCTGAAATACACAGTCCACAGGCAAGAGAGTCTGATCCTGATGAGAGCTAGGAAGGGGCAGGACAGCCACAGGAAAGGACAGTTTCAATTCCTGCTTTGAAGGTGAGAACCTATGATTATCCTCAAAGATGCACCTGTCTCCCAATGACCTTCACACCGCCACTTCTGGCCTCAGGCTTCCTCGTACCCTTTATACCTATAAAATTCTAACTCCCCCTTATTTCAAGGATTTGTAGCAAATAAGAAAATGTGCCTGTGGACAGAAGAAGAAGCCAACCCTGTATTTGTCAAAAACCTATTCTGAATATTTTACTAGCTCTACCTACAAGGTAAAATGAAAATGGGCTGTGAGTCTCTGCTTTGTTTGAGACGGGGATGTATGTAGTTCAGCTGGTAGAATGCTTGCCTAGCTTGTAAGAGACCTGGGTATAATAATCACTGACTATGTACAAGCTGGGTACGGTGCTGCATATCTGTAATCTCAGACTATGGGAGGTTGAAGCAGGAGGATCAAACAGTCAAGGCCACCACTGGCTGCACACAGAGTCTGAGGGCTACCCTTGGCTAAGTGTAGCCTTACATGTTCTCAAATTTTTAAATAATTAAAGATAAGATTATCAAGATCTAAGTCCAGATGATGAAATAGTAGCCTCAGCATTCAGTAGCATGGCATCCAATGAGAAAGAATCAGAGAGGCAAAGGAAATATTACCTGTGTCTCTAGATCTTTCACAGAAAGGGAACCCCTGCTCTATGACCAGCATGTCCCAATACTGGAAACTAATGCCCTTAACCAAGA